AAGTTTGCATCGACAAAATATTTATCTATGAGACAAGATAACGCATAGAATTCCAAAGCAATAATCTGATTTAATCAGGAGCTTTCAACACAGCTGCTAAAATCACAGGCCTCTATGTAAAGGTCGAATTCAGGTAAAGAGAATTTCTATTGGTTAAACTCAACGGGAGGTGTTATTAGTGATGAAGGGACTCACTTTGATGGACCCCAATATTTCTAGTCGGTTTCCAGGCGCGATTCCAACTCTGCCTGCGAGGCTACAAATCCACCAACCCTCAAATCCAGGAGGGTCTCTCTTAAGCACTGTGAGTACATCTCCTCTAGAAAATGTGAGTTCCTGTGCCACCTCTGCACTGTTATCAAAGAGGGCCCTTGCCAAGACAGTTGCATTCGCTTCTGTTGAACTGTTGGCGCCTGTCGCAGCAGAGCTACTGCCTGTGGTGTTACTGTTGTTATTGGCTGCTGAGGCAGTGGAAGTGGAAGAGGTGAAAGAGGGCGAATTTTCCATTGTTTTTTACCATGCCAAATACGAGCAGATGCAGTAGTGGCAGAAAAGGTGCTCCAGCATTGTTGTCTCTATTCACGCTCGAGCGTATTTGTGTGTTTCTGTGTATGCCTCGCCCTATGTGTGCACAGAAGAGACAGCGCAGAGGTGATGGCGGTACAACCACAATCCCTGGAACCAATCAGCGTCCAGTAAAGTCTGGACCAATGGCGCTCTTGCGTATTTATGTTGCTGCGTGTGTGCGCGCATTTGTACTCTCGCCTTAGTAGACGGGTTTTGGCGAAAACACCATGCTAAAGGTCTTCACGCCTTACGCGACAATGTCGAGCCAGACGGCTGCAGGGACCGGTTGTCTAGGAATTCTTTAACTTTCTTACCCTATTAAGCATCAAACAATTTTCACAAATATGCATTTGGGCTTGATTTAGCAGCAAGTACAGCTTTTCAGCAATGAGTTCTCTTATCTCAAAATTAAAAACAATGTTCTGTATGAGAAGATCAAAGGTTTTACAAATATGCCAGAAACTGCTAACTTTTGGTGTCTTCAAATGATATTAAACGTTCTAATTAAAAACTGCCTCCGTTCGAAAATTCTGTTTGTATTAATTCCATTTCCAATGATTGGTAAAAGTACTAACGATACATAAAGTCGAAGTACTTTTCGACAAAAGGTGCGTGTACTGCCTGAGAAGTTGTAAGTGGACAATATTAGCGACAGAAAGTAGAGAAAAAGAGACGTATTTATTAACCTTAAGGCAACAGGCAACTCTCTCCACCCTCCGCTTAACAGATGCGCAAATGCAAATCACAGTACAAATGAATGGTGTCTCGCAAAATTTGTCTGCAAAAAGTGAAAAAGGATGACTGCATAATTCCGCACAGGGGCAGGAATTACTGATTAGGTGGGAGTAGAACAATTGATACAACTGTCTTGTTGAACGTTCGTGTC